GTCTCCCTCTCCCTCCCTCCTTCCCTCTCCCCCTCTCTCCCTCCCTCCTTCCCTCCCCCGCCATGGGTGGATAAGATCTCATGTAGCCCAGGCTAGCCTTGAACTCACCAAAAATGGCTGAGAGCTTGTAATCCTCCTGCTTCCACTTTCCTGGTGCATGGACCGTGGGAAAGTGTTGCTATGCCCAGTTATTTCAGAGCTGGGACAAGGGCATGCTAGACTAGCTCCTGTCAGTTGACTGGCATCCCCAGGAATTTACCCTAAGTTTAGCTTAAAAACATAATCTAGAATATTCTAGATATTGATGTACATGATACATCAAACCTTATTTCTTTGTAATACATATATACACACATACACATATACATACATGCATATATACATACATACATACATACATACTTAATTTGTAGTATAGGTTTTAGGTCAAGTAGACTACTTTTGTTAGTTACATGATTTGAGTCCCTTACTAAATTTAGCGATTTTCCTAATTGTCTGGCTAAAATGTGCTTTGTGTATAGTGAAGGTAGATTAAAACCCATAAGGGCTGGGTGGCACAATATTTGCCTGGCACATATGAACCCTTGGGCTTCAATCCCAGGATAGCAGGAACAGCCAGAAAATGTTACACTTTTTATTATTTTATTTTCCTCCTAGATTGACCCTTTGGCTTCTGAAATTTTTGTCTTTTGCCTCTATGAAGGCTCCCAGGGTTTGATTCCATTCTCTTCTCCTGTGTAGGCTCGTGTGTGTGTGTGTGTGTGTGTGTGTGTGTGTGTGTGTGTGTATGTTCTCATCCTTTACTCTGAATCTTCTTGTGCTTCAACATATGCCTTTTATAAACACCATTGTGTTATAACACCATGTGCTAGAATGCCTTCTGAGTCCTAGAATCATTGTCTTCTGGCTGGTTATGAACTCTTAGACTATAGCGTGACAGGATATCCATTGTACCTGAGCCACGGTACCACATTTATTTTCTTATAGCCTTTCCTGTAATGTGCCTACTAGATAATACAATTTATGCCTAGCGACAACCAGAAATAGGGTAAAATATCAAAGTATAATATAAATTCATAATCATTCATTTCTTACAAGTAAACCATTTATGGAGTTACATACATGTATGATTTATCATACATATGTATGGAGAGATAAGATTTCTGGCCAGATGGAAACCACAGAATACAGGCTTGACTTCCAGGTAAACAGATAATGCATAGGTTTTCTTTTCCAGTTCTTTTTCTGTCCACTGAAGAGAGTCAATCTGAAAGAACACATAAAGGAGAAGAGTCACTCTTAGAGATAACCAGGTTAAACCATGCTGGGTGCAACAAAGGCCCCGGGAGAACCTCACGAGGAAGGGCAACTCAAGCCTCTTTAACCAACATTTGAACTCAGTAATTCTAAAAGGATGTAATTGAAAGCATAATTATTTTGTTGAGACAGAGTCTGATGTAATTCAATGGCAAATTGTGGTATCATTTATAACACACTCTCATGTTATTGATATAAATGATAATATTGCAAATTATTCAGTAGTCATTTGTATTATATAGAACTACTATATGACCATCGTCCATTAAATTATTATGTCTCATACATTTCCCTTCCCCCCTCCCTATTTCCCTTGGAATATTGGAGGCTCACTGTGACATTGTGGAATCTTTGCTGTCCAAACTAGTCTTTGGATTCAGTTTCACTTTCAAATTGCCTGTGTAGAGACAGAGACAATTCCTTAAAGACAGTGATGCAAGGTTGAGCTCATTCCTAGATTCTTACTGTTTTTGCTTAAACTGCCTTTAAGCTTTCGAGGCCATTCAAATTCACCTTCATCCTTATCCATTGCTGTAAATTTAACATATTATCCCCCAGCCCCACCCCATCCTTGGCTGCTTGGTTTCTATTGTCAACTTGAAACAACCTGGAGTCACCTAGGGAGTCCTACTTGAAGAACTGCCTCCATCAGATTGGCCTATAGCCCGTGAGAGTGGCTGGATTGATGTGGGAGGGGCCAGGCCACTGTGAAAGGTGTCAGCTCTGGGCCCTTAGGAGGCTGGGTCTGGGCTGTGTAAGAAAGCCAGCTAACTAAAGTGTGAACCAATCTCCATTCCACGTGCTGTGGTGTCAGGTGTTTCCTTTCTGAGACAGAGTCTCACTGTGTAGCTCAGGTCTGGGCTGGGACTTGCTACCAGGCTGGCCTGAACTCATAATCTGCCTGCCACAGATGTGCAGCACCGTGCTGTGGTCATGTCCTTTAGTCTTATTATTCTAAATTAGTTGTTTATCTTTTACCTTTGGCCGTTTAGTTCCCCATTTACGTTAAAAAAAAGTTAAAACTGAATGTGATGGTTTGTATATGCTTAGCCCGGGGAGTGGCACTATTAGAAGGTGTGGCTCTGTTGTAGTAGGTGTGTACTGTGGGTGTGGGCGTTAAGATCATCATCCTAGCTGCCTGGAAGCCAGTATTCTGCTAGCAGCCTTCAGGTGAAGATGTAGAACTCTCAGCTCCTCCTGTACCATGCCTGCCTGGATGCTGCCATGTTCCCACCTTGATGATAATGGATTGAACCTCTGAACCTGTTAGCCAGCCCCAATTAAATGGCCTTATAAGAGTTGTCTTGGTCATGGTGTCTGTTCACAGCAGTAAAAACCTAAGACACTGAATAAACGGAAAAACAAATTTCCTCAGCCTTCTGCCATCCTTTTCAAAATAGCATATCAAAACTCTATAATGGAGAAACAGTAGAAATTAAGCAATGCTTAATACATATTTAACAACTAAAATTAATAAGCAGGAGATAGCAATTTACATTGACTTTTATCCCTAAAGAGGCCCACGGATTTTTGGGTTCCCCCCCTCCACTGTTTTTTTCTTAGCAGCACAAAAAGCAACAGTTCTAGCTGTGGTATTTTCATACCCACTAAATTTTTATAAGATTAAAACCTGATGGTTAAAAAGAAGAACCCAATTATTCATTATATTAATCACTAATATATTAACCACTCAGTTTCTACACAAGGAAAAATGTTAAAGTCTGAGTTATGAGCTACATCTGTCTTAATGTCCTTAATAACCCATTATGCCAACTAATTATGAAAGAAGACAGGTACAAAGCCCACTCACTCCTCGCTTGAGAAGTCATCCAGTCTCCATTTTTTCCTTTGGGAATAGACTTTTACCAGCATCCCGATCAGGACAAGGATCACAACGTAGAAAGGGATGATCAAGAAAAACGGCCACCGTGCAGACTTGGAGCGGTAAGCACTTGCAACATAGGGGCGTGCTAGCAAAGGAAAGTACCAGGGGTTAGAATGTGGTCACTAGGAATATAATGACAGTATTGTGTGCTTGCTGTGATTGTCGGAACACATGTTATACTATTTAAAAACTTTATAAGGAATACATTTGCATATGGTGTAGGTAACAAGATGGCACTGGAGTCCCCACCTGCAAGCTCTTCAATCCTTGTATAAGATCCTGTCTTAGCCTTTCTTTTTGTATGTATCTTTTTGTTTGTTTTGTGTGTATTGGTGTTTTGTCTGCTTGCATGTCTATATGAGGATCCCTTGGAACTGTAGTTACAGACTACAGCTGCTATGTGGGTGTTGGGAATTGAACTCAGATCCTTAGGAAGAGCAGTCAGTGCTCTTAACTGTTGGGCCAACTCTTCAGCCCCTTGTATATAACTTTTTATGGGATTAAAAAAACTGCATGTGCGTGAGTGTTTGTCTGCTTGTATGTATGCACACCCTGTGTGTGAGCAGTGGCTGAGGAGGCCAGAAGAGGATGTTTGATCTTCTGGAACTGGAATTACAGAGGGTTGTGAGCCACCATGTGGGTACTGGGAGCCAAACTTGGGTCCTCAACAAGAGCAAAAAGTGCTGTTAACAGCTGAGCTCTCTCTCCAGCCCAGTGCTCCTCGCTTTTCATTGGGGACTTCTATTCTAGGTAGTCTGTCTGATCATATAGACAGAAAGAATTGAAGTGTAAGATCTCTGTTACCAGAGGGGTGTTCTCAAACTCTTATTCCTAGTAAAAAGAAAAAGATGTATATAATATTTTACATCTAAATAGTATTTTATTAAGAAATAGTTATGTTTTCATGTCCTTTCTCACATACGCTTTTTTTTTTTCAAAGTTTCTTTTCAGAATATTTGTAGCTTTAGTTTTTATATTTAGATCAATGGTCTACTTTATACAGTAGCAACATTGGCTGGCTCACAACAGCCAGTGGGGATCCAGTGCCTCTGGTCTCTGAGAACACCCCCACTCATGTGTACATATCCACCTCCCCCCGAGACATACACATAATTTTAAAAACCTGGTCACATTGTGAATTCCAAGCCAACCAGGGCTATACAGTGAGACCTTTGAGAAGTGAGGTTTTTTTGTTTTCTTCTTGAAATTTGTTAGAATTTCTCTGTGATCACACACACAAACAAAGCAACATCATTTCATATTTTCTGGTCTTTTGTTCCTTTCTTGTTTCTTTCCTTAGTTTAGGGCCTGGGACATAGGAAACTTACTGAATACATACAGCAAGAGCAGACTTCATTGCTTTGCTCCTAATTTTTTTAAAGAATTATTTATTTTATGTATGACTGTCTTTAGACACACTAGAAGAGGGCATTGGATTCCATTACAGATGGTTGTGTGCCACCATATGGTTGCTGGGGATTGAATTTAGGAAGAGTAGTCAGTACTTTTAACCGCCGAACCATCTCTACAGCCTCAGTTTTTCTCCTAATTTTATGGGGAGATAGATATTGCTTATCCCACGATGTGTTGGTTTCAATATTTTGATGTCCATTTTCAATCTGACTAGCACATCCTCTGTTAGTCTATTACTGCTTTGTGACAGGTGAGGAATCCCAATTCCCACTCTCTCTTTTTCAGTACCAAGGATTGCACTAGCTGCTGCTTTAAGAACACCCCGTGGACTGGTTGATGCTGGAGGACATCTGTAATCCAGCGGTAGGAGACAGAGTCAGGAAAACTGGGAGTTCCAGACAAGCCATACACTCTTTCCAACAGGATGGACATCTTCAAGCTTCTTTTCACTTTCCCAGGTCCAGGCACAAAAGATGAGGCCATGTTGGGAGCTGACTCTTAGCTGAAAGCGGCTATCATCTTTACAGCCATCTCGAGCCATATACCCTGACAAGAGACTTGTTTTCAACAGCCTGCAACAGCTGAGCACACTCTGATAAACATCTTGTTTTGCTGTTTAGTGCCGCCAGCAGCTGGGTGCACATGGTCTCCACGAGGCTAGGCGCCTGATGTAATGTCTTCAGCTGTGCTTGTCCATGAGGGCAAGGCACATGGTAAAGGGTATAAATACCCAAGATTTCTTTCTAATAAAAGAGACTTGACCAGACTCTGTCTTGTCTCCATTTTTCACGTCTCTCGCCCCTCCATCCCCACGCTCTCTCTTGCTAGACCCTCACCTGCGGACCAGAGCAGCAGAACGGGCTGTTACAAAGTAGCAGAATGGGCCATTACAAGGCCATTCCTTTTGTGATGACTGGGTGGAAAGCAGACAGCCTGGGTTCCCTGCTCTTTTTCTCAGGGACCTACAGAGAAAAGGCCTTTCCCCCATCTTGTCCCATCTCATCTTCCTCTTGAGGTCTGGGGTGCCATTACTGCCTGTATCTCCTCAGGGTCTACAGAATGGTACCAGCTGTTTGTACTACCAGAGTCAGGCATTTTTGACTCTACTATATTTCTGGTTCAGCTCCTGGTCCACACGTAACTCTGGGCACATGAACTTGGACAGAGTCAATGACTGCTGTCCTTGAGGTGACAAATCCTTCAGGGTTTTGTTGGTGGTCAAACATTCCGTATATTGGGGTGGGGTATTAACCTTCTTTTGTGAATCCTCATTGCTGATATGGATCCTTAGTCTGAGAGGCTGAGGTCTGTGACTAAAGGCCAAAGCCAAGCTTGTTGGGCACCCACTTCTAGAGCACCCCACAAGGTGCTGTTGAAGGGGCAACATGATTAGGAATAGCAAGGGATCTTGGAATCCTGTGCTCTCTTGTGCCTCATGGAAAAGGCTCACCAGCTGCCAGGAGGGCATCAAGGGGTACAGTGGCTATGCTAATTTCTCCAGGTCAGGTTAGTGTGATTGTAGAAGAACCCTTACTATGTCTTGGTTAGATAATTGGCTTTACTGGGGGACAGTTTGGTCTTAAAAGTATGTGATTTACATTGTAGTGTTTCCTTCACGTGGCCAGAGTGTGGTGCTGTGTCCTTCTAAATGTGGATTGGACACCTTCAGAAACCTCTCCAAGGCTCTTGTTGGTCTTTACGTAACTCCACGAAAGCATCAGGACAAAGGCCTCACTTTAGAGGGAGTTTGAGTCATTCTAGAAAGCTTGGGCATCTGTGCTTTTCCATCTGAGAACTCACAGTGATCCACAGTGGTCTCTAAAACCATGGCAAACAAACTGAAAAAAAAATGAAGGGGAAATCTGAAATACGGCCCTGTTGCACAACTGTCACAAGCACAGTTTATTGGAAAAGATAGCACACTTTTCACAGGGAAGGCAGGAGTGGCGAGAAAATCATGTTCACTTTATGTTTATGACAATCATGTCTTCGAACTTATATCCTTCTGGAATAAAGAGTGTCTCACAACAAAAAAGCAATAATAACAATGAATAGAAATCCTCAGGAGTGAGTATTAAATACCTTGTGATGAGTACCACTTTGGTGTATTTTGTTGCCATAGTAAACTGCATGGATTGACAGACAGTCTTACAGTAGACACCCATTAGTATGGACTTTTTTTCTTCCCTTTATGGTACCTGGGCTTGAACTCAGGGCTTGGTATGTGCTGTCTAAGCTCCCTACCTCGATATGAAAATTTTTAACTTTTTCTACAGATAAGTATATACTATGAGCTAGTAGTATGTTAAGAGTTTTCCTTGTGCAATTGTAAAGATGCTCTTCTGCAATTTTTGTTTGTTAGTTTGCACATGTGGCATCAGGGCTATGTTTTTCTCCAATGATAAATTAGCTGGGAGGGCTTAGCCTACCACTGCTCTTTAAGTGCTACTTCTTCCTGGCAGAAAACGGGTCTTCCTTCCTTCCTTCCTTCCTTCCTTCCTTCCTTCCTTCCTTCCTTCCTTCCTTCTTTCCTTCCCTTCCTCCCTCCCTCCCTCTGTTCCTCCCTCCCTCCCTCCCTCCTTCCATCCCTCCCTCCCTTTGTTTCTTTCCTTCTTTCCTGGTAGGTTTCTTAGCCACAAATCCCAAATTAGAGAACTTTGACTCCAGCTTCTTGGTTCTACCTTTTGGCTGACAATTCCTCATCACACCTGGGTGGCTTTGCCAGCCTGTTTCTTGTTGGTAGTGGACAGGAGCCCAAACCATACACACTTCTCCTGACCACGTCCAGTTCACAAGGACAGGATACTTTCAATATGTGTTTCTTAGTGTAGAGTCCAGTAAGGTCACAGTTATGGATCTCTTTGGCAGAAACCTTTCACTTTTTTGGACCTTGTTGCGGCTATTGTAGACTGAACTACTTAACATTCTTAGTAGCCCAACCCCTCAGTTTTTGTTAGTGTGTGTGTGTGTGTGTGTGTGTGTGTGTGTGTTTCCAGAAGTGGATGGTAAGTGCCTTCCTCAATTTCTCTACACCTTATCTTCTGTGTCTCTCACTGGCCTGGAGGTCACCAATTAGTCTAGACTGGCTCTTGACTCTGGCTCCTCAGTGGCAGAATTTGAAGTCTGTGCCACCTCTGAGCATTTTTTATGCGAATTCTGGGGAATCAAACTCAGGTCGTCACATTTGTGAGGTAAACATTTCACTTCCCCTCTTCCACAACGCTCTAGTTATGTTTTCTACTTGTGAGTAAGACTTACCAGGGATTGATTCAGCCCGATACTGGTTGCCGCTATCAATGCTCCCACCAGGCCATGCCTCCTTTGTATTTATACAGTCTGGAGGTAAGTACGTGGGATCACAGTGGCAATGCTTCTTGTTATTACATACCTGAAAACACCATAAAGTCACAGGCTGAGTCAGGCAGCCGGGTTCATTCACACGCAGGAAGTCTGTAGAGTAACGACTATGTAAAATTACATCCATTTGCCTCTGTGGCTTACTATTGGGAAGGGTGGGGGTAAGAAGGCATGGAAGCAGAGAAGAGGGAGGGAGAAGGAGGAGGAAGGAGAGGAATTTAGGCCTTGCTCTCCAGAGCAGGTTCAGTGGCTTTCCCTTTTCTCACTCACAGGTCTGCTACTTACACCATGATTGTTGCAATTTTCTGGGGTGCAATCATAGTTCAAGACATTGTCGTCTACACATTGTTGATTCAAGCAAACCTAGAACAAAGAAAGTAACTGAGATGCCAGGCTGACTTACCCCTTAGTTAAAAGCATTCCGTACTCTCTTAAGGTAAAACAAAACAAAACAAAAAAACCAACCACCTTGAAGTATCACCTCATCCCAGTTAAACCGGCCAGGGATGAAGGGACAAACGAACAATGTTAGAATTTAATTTTAAGCGGCGGCAGTTAACATCCTCAGGAATCCCTAGCGGGAGGCGCACCCATGAAGAGCTGGAATAAACCAGGAGCGAGCGTGTCCGCAAGTATATAAAGTATATAACCAAGTATATAAAGGGCACCACATGGAGATTCCAGCCCTAGACGATGGACTCCTAAGGGAGTCAAACGAAGCTTCGCTGCATGGGCAGAACAGCAGGTGTGGGTAGCAGGCAATGAGACACGGATGGAGCTGAAGATGGGGTGTTTGAGGTGGAAGAGTCTATGAGATGGAGTCGAACAAGCCAGAGAAGTGACTGGGAGGAGCACCATCAAGCTGGCCAAGGTCTGGCCCATGATGTGCACAATGGTTTTTTGGGTTTTTGTTTTGTCATCCTTGCCATTACATACCTGCTGACCGTGTTAATGCACTCACAGACAGGGAAGACTGTGTTCTCTCATTTCCTCTAATACTGCCATAAAAAGGTTATGACCCAAACCTAGAGATTCCAACTGGACTGTGCACCTGCAGAGCTCACGATCAGGGCAGCACCAGTGACACCAGCTCGTTGTCACAGGCAAACTGAGCGGCCACTGCAGTGCTGTTGTTGGATTTGTTTCTCTTGGGTTTTACTCGGAGTTAATGGTTTAATCTTCATCTTGTATACATATGGTGGACAACATACTGTTTTGGTATACAGATGGAATTTTAATTTTAAACAGCTCATTTGGAAAACAAGATTGTGGCTCTATGTATGTGTTATCTTCCTTCTAACCATGAAACAGAATATTAGTCAAGCCTTAAAAAAAAGGCAATTCTGACTTTGGGAATATGGCCGAACTATAATGAGTGACATCACACAGACACAGAAGGACACATATGTCATGACTTTACTTATGTATGGAACCTAACAGAAACTGACAGAAGGTCCACGGTGACAAGAAGAGAATGCAGAGAAGTCATGTAAGCTTGCAGTACCACGCCGGGCGGTGGTGGCGCACGCCTTTAATCCCAGCACTTGGGAGGCAGAGGCAGGCGGATTTCTGAGTTCGAGGCCAGCCTGGTCTACAGAGTGAGTTCCAGGACAGCCAGGGCTACACAGAGAAACCCTGTCTCAAAAAACCAATTAAAAAAAAAAAAAAAAGCTTGCAGTACCACAATTTGCAGTTGTGAAAGGTGATGGAGGATGAGTAAATCTAGGAATATAACTGACAGCATGGGGATGGCAGTTGATATTGTGTGCCTAAAGTGTGACGAGAGAACAGGCCTGAGGTGTTCTTGCCATACTATATGCACACGGTAATGTACTCGAGAAGGGAAATCACAGGCATATATCAGACAACGTGGTGTACTAGTTTCATTTCTGTTGTTGTGATAAAATACTTTGATCAGAAACAACTCAGGGGAGGGATCTATCACTGAGGGTAGGAACTCAGGCAGCTAGTTGCATCCCATCCATAATCAGAAACAGAGAGCAACGAATCCGTGCAGGCCCACTTGCTTAATTGCTTCTCTACTCTCAGCTAGGTTTCTCCTCTCTTATAATAAGCAGGATTCCTTGCTAGGGAATGGTGCTGCCCACAAGGGGCTGTGCCTTCCAACATCAATTAACAATCAAAACACCCACCTCTCCCACCCCCACAGATGCCCTTGGACCAACCTGATCTAGATAATTCCTCAGTTGAGACTCTCTTCCCAGGTAGCAAGTTGATAGTTAAAACTAACCATTTCAATACATGTAAGCCATTAATTTAATAGAGAAAATTTTGCTTTTGCCTTACTCTGTGACCTCTTTAACTTTCACCATTATTTAAGAATAATTACATCAAAAGATAAATCACCACATCAGAAGGCGTTCCCCACCCCCCTCTGTAACATTCTGAAAATGTAACAAAATGCAATGGGTGAACAGTGAGAGTGTTTCTTCGGAGGATTTGTGTGACTTCCACAAAAAATACAAAGCAGCCAATGAGATAACCACAGCAGCAGCAGCAGCTGTGCAAGGTCAATGGCTTTATTCTATTTTACTCTTTGAAATTTGTTTTTTAGTTTCAAACTTCTATGTTAGATTGCATACTTACATTTTTGAGAGAATGTGTTACTAGGCATATGTACCAATAAAGATATAATACACACTGGGAGAGGACACTGGGGAGCTATGGGAGAGGAGGTGGCCTACCTTGTTTATCCCGCAGACAGTTCCGTCTTTCACCCACATCTTCTGGCTCTCATTATGACCTTGGGGATATTCCAGGGAAATGCAGATGTGCCCACTTATATTGGCATAAATAACAATGGCAGACCTTATTTTAAGTACATTTTCACTTTGGTATTTACAAATTAACTTCCCACACATCCGGTCACTATAATTTACAAATAAATGTAAGTCATTATTTTAGTAGAGAAATATTTGAATATACTTTTAAAAAATAAATAGATTTAAACATTGGAGTTGGCAAGTAAGGTATAGGCAATTAGTTTTGGATAACACACAGAGTCCTTCCTGAATTGCTAACAATAATGAACTACTCAATTATGAATTCCTCCGTTAGCTGGACGACTGTGATTTTTTTCACCAGCATTTGATCTTTAATCACAATCAAATTCAAGCTTATTCTAAACTTTTAAAAATGAGCAATTGGCTTTGTCATCAGCTCCACTGGGTTCCTTTTTTGGTTTAACAACTGATAAGATATTGAAATCCATATTTAAAGAACATCGTAGACCATGCATATTATTAAAATAAAATAATCAAACCATACATACCTTAAATGCTAGTGCAGAAATATATAGAAAAAAACAAAAGCATAAACATAACCAGACAATAAAGGGATGTTAGCTACAGAAGAACAGTAGTAAAAATGAAGACTGATGGTCAGACAAAGAAAGAACGTAGACCAGAAAACTCTTGGATGGTCTGGTCAATGGGAGAAAGAAGTATACTTTCTCCCTGCTCCACACACAGAGACTCCTTGTCAAGGTGGAAGGTCATCTCCTGTATAAATGGCTTCCTAACCAACTTCCTGGTAAGATGGTCCTTGAAAACCGTCTCCTTCCACCCTCCAGTCAGCTAGCTCCTCATCACAGAGCTCACTCTCTCCCATCTCTTTGTCTCTAGACTAACTGACTTCTGTGTATGATGGGACTGGGGCCTTGAACAGTAGACAGATGTGCACTTATTCACAAGAAGAACGCAGACCCAGAAAAGAAAAAAAAAACTGGGCAGTTATGTCTCTTAGGCAGCTGCTGCTACTTTCTTTAGCTAGGGGTTATTTACTCTTTTAGTGGGAGGGCTGGCCATAAAAACCAGTAACCTGGATGCCTTTTTTTCTTTGATGCAATTGCCAAAAATCCTTCTGCGTGTAACAAACACTGAGACCAGCAGCCCCAGTGAAGTGACGGATGATAAGAACTGAAGGGAGTCACCCAAATGATCCAGGTGAAGTTCTTCGAGGAGAAGCATAACTATGCTAGAAAGCCCAGTGAGACATGGGCCTACGGAGCAGATTTCTGTAACCACGAAAGATGGAGACAGAATACTGGCACCTTCAGCAAATCGTATCTGCATACTACATACATGCATATGTACAGAGAGAGAG